AAGGAATAAATTACTACATGTATGAACTTGTATAAAGTGCGACTTTACTTTTAGTTTTCAGCATTTCTCTTTATTTTGAGATTTGCTAAATGGATTTAACATTTATTTAAAGGAGCTGTTCGAACTAACTGCGTGTGTGCTAAATAAATTCCTATGGAAATTAGCAATTCCACTGCATGTTATCATGAAGGAAGAATGAGAACAGAGAGGGAAAGAAAGAAAGGAAATGCGTTCAAAAATGAAACAGAGGACAGTGATTGGTTATTAACCTGTTAACGAGTGAATTTGCGAAAAAAGTGTATATATAGTAACAATAAGTGGAAAAGTTTGGAAATTAATTCTAGATATATTTTTTTTAAAAGGGCAAAATTATTTTATTGTTTTAATTATATTCAAAATACATTTGTTATTTTATACTTTCATTTGCTTAATTCCCTTGTGTAGAAACAATTAATTCCATCACTAATAATTTATTTTGTTCTAATTAAATATAAGAAGTTAAACAAGCCTGGTATTATTTTTTATTTATTTTAGCTAACTTGTATTTTCAAGCATAGGATTGGAGGTAGATTTTTTCCTGATTGTAGAGACGATCGGATTACTAGTAGTTCATATGCAGATTTGTAACAATTTATTGTGTGTATGACTACACATTAGGCCAATGTTGGTCCAATATATCGGGCCAACATTGGACCGATGAGCAAACTGACATTGGGCCGATGTCATTTGCCAACATTGGCCCAATGTAATTAATGATGTTGGCTCAACATTGACCCAATGTCGCATTCATTAAGCCAATGTTGGCTCAATGTTGGACCAATATCTGTAGAATCACACTTTACATTGGACCAACGTTGGCCCAATATATCGGGCCAACATTGGGCCGATGAGCAAACTTACATCGGGCCAATGTCATTTGCCAACATTGGCCCAATGTAACCGATGACGTTGGCCCAACGTTGGCCCAATGTTAGCTTGCTATACACCACTGAGCACGGACTGACAATACTGCTGAGTTGGTTTGCTTTCGAACATTTCTACTCTGAATTTTCTGGATTATAGATGTAATATTTTTCATTAATACATAACAAAATTGCTTCTTTTCTTAAATATTAATGATAAAGTTAAAATTTGTGTAAGTGCAAAGATGTGTTAATCAAACGGGCCCCGGAATTCATAGTTCCAATAATTTCCAGATAAAATAAGTTTTTTTTATATTTTCGTGTGAAATGCTATTGCAATATATAAGTCGTGATATTATACAGAAAATTTGAGAAAATATTAAGTTCAAATCTGTGTCTAAGCACCTAGCTTTTTATAAAGCACATGTATCTAGTTGTATAGACGACTGATTCCAAAATGTGAAGACACTGTTTCAGTACACATGTATTTTATTTTTGTGCTATTTTCATACAATTATTATTTTAGCATTCTTGGACTTTTTACATATTCAAACTTCAATAGTTATGTAGCTAATGCTTTTAAAATTAATAAGCATGATAATGGTGCATTCTTGTCATCTTGACAGGTCAACTTCATGATGATTTTATCCATATATTCAAAAAATATTCACAAATAATGTTTTTCTTTATTTTAATGAATTTATTTTTAAAAAATTAAAAGTTTTTCCAACTCTTCTGGGTCGATCAGTATAACTTTTATCATCGGGTTCGAGATACTATACATGTAACGTAATATGAGACGAATCAGTTATCAGAGACATGGACGGTGATGGTAATCGGTTCGCAGACTTTGGTTTGGTCAGTCTACATTGCCACTTTCCTTGGTTATTTATAATTCGGTATGTAGTAACAGAGGGTAAACCTTTTAGATAATCTCAATATTTTGTTTTCCACCCTTCAATATTTAACATGTTTGTCATGTGATATTGTTACATCACTCAGACCGCAGGGGCCTGAGCCTGCTCCTGGCGTGTAATAATTATTTATTAAACAATTATATATACGTAATACTGTGTTGTTTTAGTATTGCGTATATAATTTTTTAATAAATAATTATTAAATGCCAGGAGCAGACCACTGTGACCACTCGGCTATTAGAACCACAGGCATCTGAATTTCTATCAATAAGCCGTTATATTTTGGATCAGAATGATATATATACCCCCTCTATATATAAATACACGTGTATTTACATATAGAGGGGGTATATATATCATTCTGATCAATCATATAACGGCTTATTGATAGAAATTCAGAGGCCTGTGTTAGAACGGGCTCTTATATGCTCTGTTCCCTATTATACCATACCATGTTTACACAAATATAATAAATACACAGGGGAAGAATCGAATGTAAACAAGAAGTCGAAAAATAACTTACTTTAGTATAAAATTAACACAAATGCTCAGATGAGCTAGTGCGAATGATGTCCTAGTTACACATATAGTATTTCAATTTACCTATGCAAGCTAAAAGATTCCACTTATAACAGTGATTCATTTTGCCCCTGCGTCCTGCTTAAATTAAGCACTAATTTTGCTCAGGATATAATTTTTGCACAATTTCAATCAATGTGCATCCCAATGGATGCAGCAAAATTAGATAGGTGTACTATTGATGTATGAGTTTCATTTCAAATCGGTTGATTGCATCATATCCATGTGTTGAGCGATATGCACAAGCAATTTTGTGACAAAAATGTTAGGCCACCTGGCCAACATCAGGTCAGATTTTACACCTCACTTTTTTTTTTACAGTGAATGAGCAATTATTAGGGAATATCTGCAAACGCTAGTCAGCATAGTTTAGAATGTCTACTGCTGATATCATGGATATATTATCAATGACATGATTATATCAAGTATCTGGAGCATAGTACATAATTAAAAAATGATTAAAGTGTCATCATTTTAATTATTTCCTATAATATTGACCCATTATTCTTTTTAACTTTATTTAATTTTTTTTAGTTAAATAACTAAATCTTTATTTCTTTTAATGTTTGGTTTAGTTTGGAACAGCTGGCATACAACTGAACATTTTTGAGATAGATACGATCTAAAACTAGAACCAGAGTACATAATTGACAATATAATATTTTTTATATAATGTACAACAAAACAGCACTTTATTAAAGTTCATCTGAATTTCCTCTGTCAAATGCATGTATGTAATTTTTATATATATATCATGTATATGTATATATATGTTAGATAAGGATGCACTGTTTTGGTATGGGACTCATTATCATCATTAAAAGGGGTCCGTTGGACACATGATAACCTTTCCAAAATGAATCACTGCTTTTATCCAATGTAAATAGCTTTTATCCAAAAATAAAAATAAATGCTACAAGTTTTCACTTGTAGATGCCATTTTAAAAGTTCTAGGAACATGTAGAAAACTTTTCATCACTAAAATTGATAATACAATACGCAAGGAATTTATTAAATTCTCCCACTAGACGTACACATATGAAATCTCAATCTCTCTGATAACTCATGTGTATTTAGGAATTTACAAAAAAATTTCTATTCCTAGATTTGGAGCTAATCCTGATAAGGCATAGAGAGTAATTCTGCACTAATCTTACTTTGTCCAATACATGAGACCGTTTGCATGGTTACCATAAGGAATTTTTGACAGCGATACACAATTTCAAACATGAAGAATGGTTGGATTACAACTTTACATCTGTCTAACAGTGCTCAACAGTTATACCATATGCTTTAAGGCAATTTTCTTATTTTGTCAAACTAATCAACTAAAAAATGGCCACTAGTTCCAGTGATGAAAGAGACAAGGACACAGCAGTTGAGTCAGCCCCTTCTTCTACTAATTTGTCACTCACCATTAAGAACAAGTTGCATGAAGTAATTGTCAGCAGAATGAAAAATCTTACACCATTGAATGATGTCCACCTAAAACATACTCCAATTATCCAACAAAACTCAACTTTTGCTACATGCAAAACCTCCAATTCTGATAGAACTACAACTACAACTTCTGAAAACCAGATTTCACCCTCAAATCAAAGTCTGTTGCAAGCAAGTGGACACTGTGTGTTGCTTAATAATTCGGAGGCTATTATTTGTACATTGAATGATGGCCAACTTAGGATTCCAGGAATACCTGTGATTAAACTAACTGATTCTCTAGAGACCACAAAAAACCTTACGATTCCATCTCCAGGGTTCTCATTAACGCAAGAATCTGCGTCCTAGACGCAGCAAAATTCCTTGGGACGCAAGGTTCTTAAAAACGATGCGTCCGCGGACTCGTGATCGGACGCGTCCTCGTTAGCGAGAAAATTCGGGAGATTTCGAAAACGGGGAATTTAGATGTTAGGATTTGTCAAAGAAATATTTAATCGAAACCTTCATGTAACTATAATAAAGTTTATCCAAGAAACAACTTTTCTTGTACTTATTTCACTTTTTTTAAACAGGGATTGATCATAAGATATTTCATGTTTATTAGTCCAGTCATAATAGTGTCGCATGCCAAACTTAAAAAAAAAAACACTTTTGAATCTTGAGTGTTATCTACATGCAGAAACCATAATTACTGCTTGTATACACAATGGGGCTTGATTATCTCGTGAATTTCACCCAGTGCAGACGACCGACAGGATTAGTTACGCCTCATTGCACATGACACCTGTTATTGTACACAGTCAACTTTTGGGTACTAGTTGATTATGCAACAGTTAATTTTAGCTTTATAAACACCAAGTTATTTTTATGGCAATTGATTACGCGTGTATTTTAGAATATGGCTTGAATGCATTACCAGTTTATATACTTGAATATGTTAATATTGCGTAAACAAACTGATAAAATGATAAACATTTTTATTGATGTTTGGATGGAAGAATACTGCAATATTTTAGCAGAGACATATACATGTCTCTGATTTTAGTTGGGACTCAACATAATTTTTCTGGGACGCATCAAATTTAGCTGGGACGCAACCTTCTCAGAAATCTTGAGTCCTGGGACTCAAGTTAGCAAAATCCTAGTGAGAACCCTGCATCTCCCATGTCTACAGCTAGTGGGAACAAGGATAGCCTTCTGACCAAGCAGAACAATCAGGCTTGTGTGAACATGAACAGCCTCAGGACCCAGCAGGCCTCTCAGCCTACTTTCAAATTAAACAAAATTGGGATGTACGTGTTGCCTCATTCTAGTTTGAACATTAAAAGACTTAGAATGCATCAATCCTTTCAGCCGTTTATGAACACGGACAGCCATAGGACACAGCAAGTATCCTCTCTGCCTGCTTTGAACACCAACAGCCTTGAAGTGCACGAGTCTTGTGAGCCCAGTATGAAAATGAATAACCACCAGTCCAGTCAGTCTACTGTGTCTGTGACCAACAACAACCTTGAACAGCTTAAATTTTCTTCTGTTAATAAATTACCTGTGGTTAAGGTTCCAAAGAATGTAGTGCTTTCATCAGCAAACAATGAAAAAAATGTTGAAAATTCCAGGATAGAAACTGGAACCAAAACTACTATCTCGTCGAATCCAAATCTCAACCACAATGCTGATATTGTACCAAGTACCATGTCTTTTTACCCAAATACTGTCGTTACTGTCTCCAAACCAAATGTTACGAACAACATAAACAAAACAACCATCAACAATTCCAGCATTCTGAACAATCAGCTTGTAAATAACAAAACATCGTCTGTGAACACTTCAAAAACAGTGGTACCAGCAGAGGTTACGGAGCACAAATTTTCTGTCAGATTTCATCCGGTTCATAACCTGGAACTACAAACAGACCAGAAGTTTGATCCACCACCAGAATTGGAAAATGTTCAGGTGAAGATGGAAGAAAGCCCTGGTGCGGTTCTCAACCTGGATCTACAGCCAGACCAGAATTTTGATCCACCACCGGAATTGGAAAATGTTCAGGTGAAGATGGAAGAAAGCCCTGGTGCGGTTCTCAATCTGGATCTACAACCAGACCAGAATTTTGATCCACTACCGGAATTTGAAAATGTTCAGGTGAAGATGGAAGAAAGCCCTGACCCAGTGGTTATCAACGGACTTCGGTCTTCATCCCGCATAAGAGAGAAACAAATGGTTAAAAAAAGTCCTGTGGTGGAGAGTGTTAGCACAGTAAGCAAGGTAAGTATGAATTCCTCTGTAGGGCTGGGATGATTTTCGGTTCAATCAATTCGGTTTGGTTTCCATTCAGAATGATATGGTTCAGTATTTTTCGATTTGGTTTGATTTTAGCCTAAAACAGTCTAAATATTTCTCATCATAAATGAAAAATAATAATCTCATGGCTTTATAAATTTTTTTCCTTAAGGATAACAAACATAAAATTCTTTTTAAAAAAATATTGCAGAAGGAAAAGGTGTTTTGAAATAAAAATATTATCAGTAAATCACTGACTTAAAATTGGCACAATCAGCATGATCAGTACAAAAAGTATTAAAATCATGAAAATAAACTTTTCCGATTTCCTATTGGCGGCCATTTCTGTTTATTTTTGTTATGTAAATTTTGAACCAAACTGAACGGAATTCTGAATTTCCTGATCGGTGCACCGAATCAAACAGTATGAACCACAATGCACTGAAGTTTTTGGTTCACTGCACAGCCCTATTTCACTATGTAGTATACATGATATACATTTAAATGATTTAATATAGTCGTGTTATTTTGAGGCCAAAAGGGAAAAAATATGTTCAAGAATCCCAATAATTCAAGATACTGAGGTTGAAGTACATGTGTAGTTCGGACTTCCATGCATATGGTACCCAAGGCATCTTTGTTTGAAAACTGAGAAAGGGCCTTCAGCTGTACATTGTTTAGGGTGTCATACCTGTTAAATTGTAATTTTTGTAGTAGATTCTTACTAGGCGTATATTGAACACTGATGATTCTGTTCTGATATTTAGCGGAATTCTGATAATTTGAATCCAAGAATCCGATATTTATGAGTGTATTTCGAAATTTTCTATTTTTGCAGCGAACCGTTCCCATATTTGTCCGGGTAAAAAATTTACATTGTTTAGTCCGTGTTTTGATCTTGTCTGTATCATTCAGACGTTTGCTTTTATCTCCAAGTACACAAGGATGATTCAGACTTCCTTACAATAGCTTTTGCCATTCAGTTAGGTCAGGATGTAAAAGTTGTTGAACAAACTGTCACACTTAAAGGATTATATTCGGTAATGACCAATATTTGCCCCCAAAATCAAACTTTGACGGAGAAATCTTTAATTTATTATGTTCTAAAATAGGGGGATATCTGCTGACTTCAAAGCACTGAATATTTTCATAAGCCATGATGTCATATGTTAAATATGACGTCAGGAAAATGATGTAAATTCAAAATTTCCATGATTTATACGGGAAAAGATGTATATAACGTCAATATTTTGAGTAAAAGTCACTGAGTGCAGGTCTTCTCCAACTCAATATTTTGATATTATAATGTGTAGAATGATAATATCAATGATATATGTTAATATTGTTTTGGAGCAGACCTGTGCTCTATAAATTTCATAGTAAAAATTGAACAAATTTTGCCCATTTTTTCCTCTTTCTGAAAAATAAGATAAAATCCGAATAGTTTGTGACGTCATAGAAACAAAAATTGAAAATAACTTACTTTGAAACTATAATATTTTTTGTTAATTTAGATTTCTCATACAATATATAATTCAGCACATTTCAAAAAACATTTCAAAATATGACTTGTTGGGGCAAAAATATGCATATACCGCATATACATGTAGTTCTTTTTGTCACTCATTTAAACCTATTTTGGGCTTGCTAAAACCCATATTTTATCAGCCCCTCAACACCCAAACTATTTCAGATATTTTGGCCAATTCACAGAATCATCACTGATTGAGGGACTTAAATTAACACTATTTCAGCAGGGGTGTGACTAAAATCTGTAATTCGATCTAATAAATTCCAGTTTTTGCCGACAATGTAAAATGTTTACACATCAACCCTTAAACCAGTTTCACATGTATCTTCTTGTGTGTTTGTCTGTGCACATGTGAGTTCAGGCTAAGTATGGGCGTTTCTATGCAAATGAGCCAATAAAAAGGCATCCTCGCAAGCCAGGGGTCCTGAGTCAACACGTTGCCGTTGGACCCCTGGCATATTTCATTCAATATTCGTGGGCTTGCTTCTCTCATTGAGAAGCACCAATCAAATTAAAGCTTTCATAAATAGTCAGATAAGGATTCAGTTGACACCTCAAATGCACGTGTTACAAGTTTGTTCATTATAGAATGGTTTAACGTGATTGGTTGAGAGATAAGAAAAACAATCAAGATTTGTAATTTTTCCGAAAGATGTGGCTACAGTCAGCCCACAAATATTGAATGAAATATGCCAGGGGTCCAACGGCAACGTGTTGACTCAGGACCCCTGGCTTGCGAGGATGATAAAAAGGCATTAGAGGTATATGAGGTATATATTTATTATTCAAAGAATGTTTTGATTTATTTTCTTATACATACTTATATCCACGATATGTTATAGCCAGTACACATTATGACGTCATATTATGACGTCATTGATCTTATCTACTGGAGGTAATAAAACACATCAACAAAACAGCTTCAGCACAAGGGATTACCCTATTTAATTTCTAGGGGTGAAACGATACACCTCCTTCATGGTTCGATACGTATTGTATAATTTTGTCTCGGTTCAGTTATTTTCGATACGATACATTTTGATAGAAGGAAACAAATTCAACATTGTTTTATGCTTTCTTTTTCTAAATTTAGTCACATATTTTACGAATTTTATTTGCAAATTGACCAGAAGAAATTGATTAAAATTATTTGACTGTCAAAAATTATTTTACAAGCTATCAGTCATCAAAAATTTACGTTTTCTATACTTATTTATCATGTTTATACTGAGTAACGTGTTTTGCCTTATGCCAAACCCGACTGAATAACGATCCCGATCGAAAAATGAACCGAACTGAAAATTAGAGATATTGCACCGTGTATCAAACCGAGAAAAAATACCGCGGTGAATCGATACCGCGGTGAACCATTTCACTCCTATTAATTTCACACAAAATGCATATTATGCCAAGAAGAATATTCTATAGATTAATAAAACCACTGCACAAATCCTAAGCATTTTCTCAGAATTTGAGGAAACTTATTCCCGACTGTACATTTTTACCCAGATTCAACATGTTCAACTCAAAACTTTACAAATAGTAATTAAACGACAGAGCTGTTGATATTTGTGCAGCAATACCAGCAATCCTTGGAATAATTTTCCACTAAATACACCTTGTTTCAGTTAAATTAACTTAAATAAAATAGAGCATGCCCTTGCGCCGAGGCATTTTTGTTGATGCCCTTTATAATCTTGTGTAGTAAAGAACATTGACATCATAATATGATGACATAATTTGTACTGGCTATCTCACGTCGTGGGTACATGTACCAAGTAAGTATTAGACATAACTTTATCTGTATAATAGATAATTATAGTCCTTAGGCATTTTAATTAGTTAATTTGCATAGAATTGCCTATCCCTAGCCTTAACCCACTTGCGTATGTCTTCATCTTTAATCTTCTTTGCAATTTTCAAAAAAATTATATGAAATAGAAACTAAAATTTAGTACAAAGTGCATTATAATCACTCTTGTACATGTTGAACTTCAATATCTCAGAGATCAAAATCTTAGAATACTATGAATACTGTTATTTATAAAATACATTTATTTGAAAGAACTTTAATTTGGCATAATAAATTGAGGCAAAAAGGTCGCAAAGATTTCATTAGCACGCATATGTACATCAAAGTGATTTTGAAGTCCCATCCATTTCTTGAATCACCTGAGCTGAAAGGTTAACAGCATCCTTCGACCTTGGTCACATGTTGAATAAAGATGTAGGAAAAAATATTTTATAGTCTTATCAAGAATGACAATGTTATTATTAGTCATATTTATATATTAAAGCAGGTAGATTAGATAAAAGTTTGTTCAAATCTTGACCCCTGTGGGGATGAAAAGGTT